CAGAAGACTATTTTTCCACAGACAGGGAGGGAATGCAGCAGGGGGAATGGGGAGGTTCAGTTCAGATGCTAATGCAATCGATGATTCAGGCAATGTAAGTAATGGGGAGGGGCAGACAAAGTTCACTTGCTTGCCTCCTGCTGTGTGGCACAGTTACTAACTTGGGCCCAAGAGCTGGGGACCACTCCTTTAAACATTTTGCCTGCATGTCTCATAAGTACCCTCGGAGAAGGCAATGGCAACCCACTCCAGTACTCTTGCCTGGAAAATCCCGTGGGCAGAGGAACCTGGTGGGCTGCAGTCCATGGGTCTCGAAGAGTCGGACAAGACTGAGCGACTTCACTTTCACTTTTCACTTTCATGCATTGGAGAAGGAAATGGCAACCCACTCCAGGGTTTTTGCCTGGAGAATCCCAGGGACGGCGGAGCCTAGTGGGCTGCTGTCTAAGGGGTCGCACAGAGTCGGACACGACTGAAGCAACTTAGCAGCATAAGTACCCTAAAGCTAATTTCAACAAGTGGAATTCTGGGTTGTTTTTTACAACATCTAACATGAATTTTAATTATATTTGCTTACTTATTATACATCACTCTCACTAAACAGTAAGCTTCACAAAGGAGCAACTTCATCTGTTGTATTTATCAATGTATACTTAGAAATTAAATAGGGCTTAATAACAGCAAACACGAAGATTTACTAGACCTTCTCTGTCTAGTAAATATTCACATGCTAACAGGAGAGAAAGATACATAAACCCCAACGAGAGTACAACATGGTAAGTGCCACTATGAGTGATAAGAGGAAGCACATGAATCCAAAAAAGGGGCCCTTAGAACTAGACTCAGTATTTTGTAATACTGATAAGGGAAAAGAATCTGAAACATATATATATATTTACATCACTGTACACCCGAAACTAACACAACATTGTAAAATCAACTACACTTCAATGAAAAAAAAATAAAAATAGAAGCCCTTAACAGCCGAGGAGTCAGGTAAGACTTTCTTAAGAAGGTAACTTCAAAGGTATTTTTGCAGGACAAAAGTTAAGTACAGCTATAAAGTCTCTACTATATATTCTTTTCTTTTTTATATATAATTATTTTAAACTTTATAACTCAAGATATTTATAAATATCTATTTTATATATGAATATTAGAAAGATTAAAAACCAAGTACCTGGTAGGTGAACTGAGGTCAGTTTAGTTTTAATCCCTTTCCCCCTTCCTTCTTTTATTCTTTTTTTTTTGCTATAGCACAGGCATCACTAAAATACTCCTCATGCTCGCCACCTACCATTTGCCTGACCTTAAAGTAAACATTGTGTTTCTCAGGTGGTGCTAGTGATAAAGAACCTGCCTGCCAATGCAGGAGACATAAGAGACATGGGTTCAATCCCTGAGTCAAGATCCCCTGGAGGAAGACCTGGCAACCCACTCCAGTATTCTTGCCTGGAGAATCCACTGGACAGAGGAGCCTGGCGGGCTCCCATCTATAGGGTTACAAAGAGCCGGACATAACTGAAACAACTTAGCACACATGCACACAAAAGAAAACACTAAACCTCTCAACCTCAGTTTTCAGTACCAGGCTCAATTACCAGTCTCTAAAGCAAAGCATCCTCTTTCTAGCCCCTTTCTTTCATTATTAAGGATTGAGGCTCAGTTTTAAACTAGTCAGTGAACAACCCTTGGCATTTCCTCCAGGCTGCAACATCTGAGCATTTTTCATGGCTGAAAATACACTTAGGAACAATCACAGTAACATCTATGCAGCACTTCACAGTTTACAAAGTCTTTTCACACATTTATTATTTCATTTGATCCTTACCAACCCTATGAGTTATTAAATCCCTATTTTACAGAGGCCAATGGAAATAAAATGCTTCACCTAGCTCCATCTGGTCTCTCGGCTCTATAGTCTGCCAGAAATTGAATTAAGAAATTGGAGGCACTGGGAAGACTCAGAGGGATGGGATGGGGAGGAAGGCAGGAGGGGGGATTGGGATGGGGAACACATGTAAATCCATGGCTGATTCATGTCAATGTATGGCAAAAACCACTACAATACTGTAAAGTAATTAGCCTCCAACTAATAAAAATAAATGAAAAACAGCAAAAAAATAAATAAATAAATAAAAAATAAAAGAAACTGGAGGGGTGCAGAAGGGGAGCAGAGCACAAATGACTCATACAGGGAGCTCAGCATCAAGTCCCCCAAGTGGCCCAGAGCCAGAAGTTAACAAGGAAAAAGTGTGTTTCCCTTCCAAAATAATGAGCGTTTGGTCATGGCACAGTGACCTATCACAGGAGTCTGTTCTTTTTTCATATCAGCAGCACCTAGAGTCTAGTTCATAGATAGGTAGGAAGGAAAACAGAAGAAAACCCTCTGTACACTGTACGTACACACAAGAGTCAGAAGATAATGTGGAATAAAAGCACAGATATCACCTTTAGAGAAGACCTGAGTTTAGGCTCCAGCTCTGCCACTTACTGAATCAAAAGTTCCCTCCTCTGCATTATTATAGTTCCTTGTGCTTCTCTTACATCACATATCCTTACCACATGAGGTTTCAGATAGCCACTCTTAGACTTGCACTGGAAGGCAGCAACTTAGTTCAATTTCCATTTTTGCATCCCCAACACCTGGTACCATAACTAACATAGATGGTTCAGAGAAGGTTTAAGGATGAAGATATCATATTTAAAGCTTTTTGTACATAAACACATTGTCTAGACAGTAAGTATATGTATAATAGCAATCTTGCCTCATTATCTCTGCTTTCCCTCTGACTATCCCACATTGAGGACACTCCTGAAAAAAAGTTTGCTGAGGAGAAAACAAATCAGCCCAAAAGGCTAGTTTTCAAAGAGAAAGAAAATGAGTGAATACGGTCCTCTTTCCCAGACTACAGTGTTTCCCAATACAACAACCTCTACCCCTAAACAACCCCTATCTTATCCTGGCCACTCTCTTCTTCAAAAGACCATTCTTCGTCCCCCTCAGGATTCCTCCTTCTCTCCCCCCAACCCACTCCTGCTATCCTCCTCTTCTTCCCTAGGTTCACAGGTCTGCCTCCCTTCCTCCAGGTCAGCAAAGCTTCTAAGCTGCTAAAGAGTCTGTGTGTGTGTGTGTGTGTGTGTGTGTGTGTGTGTGTGTGTCTACTAGTTGCTCACCATTTCCCTAGTGGCTCAGACGGTAAAGCATCTGCCTACAATGCGGGAGACCCGGGTTTGTTCACTGGATCAGGAAGATCCCCTAGAGAAGGAAACAGCAACCCACTCCAGTACTTTTGCCTGGAAAATCCCATGGATGGAGGAGCCTGGTGGGCTACAGTCCATGGGGTCACAAAGAGTCGGATATGACTGAGCGACTTCACTTTAGTTGCTCATCTCACTAAAGGAAGTTAGAGCCTCCAGAAAACTCTTGCCCTCCTCCCACCCCAGTTCCTAAGTCCTCCTCTTCCCATCTGGCTTACTCTTATACTGCCTCTGGGAAATAAGGTGGGGGACAAATCCAGGAAGAAAGACTGCTTACTGTTGGGCCCAAAGCAAGGCAAAGAGGCAGTAAGGAGAGACTGGCGCTTGGGAAAGATAGATTCATGGTGAAAAGCAACAGTAAGGGAGCTGGGTAGGGAATGATGTTTGGGTTTCACTAACACCACAGCAGAAGTCCCTGCAAACCGGTAACCTGCCAAGAATGAGAAAGCTGAACCAAAAGGAAAAGAAAGCCTAACCAAGAAGAGAAGGACTCAAGAGAAAAACTGGCTATGGAGGGGAAAAAGAACTAGAAAGGGAAAGTACAAGAGGAAGGGGGAGCAGGAAAAAGAAAATGGGAATGGGAGAAAAGGTGGGTAGGGGACAGGACAGGAAAAATGATCAGGAGTAGGAAGTAGAAAGGAAAGTGGTGAGAAGATAAGGTTAGTAGAGTCATAGAAAAACTGGGGGAAGAAGGCAGTCCAAAATAATCAAGGTAGGTTAGAATCAGCCTGATGTGTTTCTTGGTCCCAGATGATCATGATTAAGACATTACACAGTCTCAAGGTCTGTCATTAGCTCGACATTCCAAGGAGGAAGTTCCTGAGACGATAGCTACATTTAAAGCAGTTTTATGCCCAAGTATCAAAGAACTGGCCAATTTGGAGAAAAACTATTAATATACCTTGACCTGCTTCTTCCCAACTGTCTCCCTACAACCAATATACCTACACTCAAACTTAAAAAAAAATCACCATTCTTAACCTCTGCCTTGTCCATGAAGTCACAGAGTCCTGAGCAGCCCAATAAGATGCCATTCAAAAGACTGGCTGGAAGAAAAGGTACCAAGATCTGTTTCCCAAGCTTGCCTATCTCCTACAGTGTTGAGGAGGACATTTCTGCAGTCTACTCTAGGGCTTTTACCAACTTGCCTGTCCAAAAGGCAGTCTGAAAAAAAAAAAAAAAAAGGCAGTCAGGCAGTCTGAAAATGCCAGTCACAAACAAAATGTCAAGCCCTTCGCTGCACAGATAAGGAAACTGAGGCCCACAAAGGCTGCCTAAGCAGGACTAATTCCCCCTCACCCCAGGTCTCTCATCTCTCAGTTCACTCCACCTCTTAACAAGTCATTTATAACACAGTGCCCCTCCTCAGCACCGGAGGGAAAAGCCCCCTCAGTACGGCAGGACAGCAGTTAATCCAAAACAGAGGGAAGCATCACCCCAGCCGCCAAGCAGAAGGGTGCTTGCAAAGGAGCAAGGCTCCTCAGGCAGAGCAAGTTCCCCAAAACCAGCTTCCCTTTCAGAGTCTTCCCTAGCCAGGGCTCTGGTTCCAGCCCTGGCCTAGCCCTGGGTGGGCTCATTTGAGCATTCCACCATAAACCCATTCTCTTACTTAGGGTCTCTTAAGGAAAGAGACCCTAAGTCTACCGGACCCGCGTCACCACTCCCCGGAAGCTAGCAGAGTCGTCCCCCTTCACCAGCACCGCCCAGCTGAGCATGCCCCCAGGGTGGGCCAGCATTACCTGGTTGGGGGAGCCGGCCCCGGCATCTCTGCCTGCGGTTTCTGTCGCAGAGCCGCACCTCTCCCACGCCTGGTCGGCCGCGCGACACCCAGGCTCCACCCGGGCAGCTATACTTGGCTGGGGCCGGGCTCGCAGCAGCTCAGCCGCCCCAGCTCTGGCTCCGGGGTGCAGCACGCTCCCGCCCTCACAGGGCGCAGCAAAGGCTCCACTCCGTGGTTGGCGAAGCAGAAGGGGCGGGGAAACAAGGAAGGGAAGGAGGCGGGAGAAAACCCGCTTCTCCTTTCAGTAAAGAAGCTCTGAGGGAAGGAAGAGAGACTACTACCTTCCCACCCCCTCCGTTATTCTCCCCCACCTAGTCTTCAGCAGGGGTCTTCTCAGTGAATCCAGGCTTTCCAGGGACTGTCTGAGCTTCCTGGGTGGGCCCCAGAGTCAAGAAAGAGAACCAGAGCTCTTCTGTGCCCTTGCTTCCCCAGCTGGGTCTAGACCCCAGGGCAAGTCAAATCAAACCTACCATTCTCAATTAGGCTTCAGGCAAAGAGAGGCACCCACCCACGGCCCCAACAAAGGTGTCAGGTTCGAATACCCCAGGGAGAACACTGGGTGGATGCTTACAGCTGCTTCTAAGCAAAAAAATCTCTGTAGCAGCTCCATTTATTAAGTGCCATTCTGTACCAGGTACTCCACAAAATGTTACGTCTCTCTCACCACAACCTTAGGAACTAGTTGTTTGTTGTTGTTTAGTTGCTAAGTCGAGTCCAACTCTTTTGCAACCCCATGGACTATAGCCCTCCAGGCTCCTCTGTCCCGTGGGATTTCCCAGGCAATAATACTGCAGTGGGTTGCCATTTCCTTCTCTAGCAGAATCTTCCCAACCCAGGGATCAAACCCACCTCTCCTGCACTGGCAGGCAGATTCTTTCCCACTGAACCACCAGGGAAGCCCCACCAATTCACATGTATGGAAACTGAGTTCCGGGCTTCCCTGGTGGCTCAGTGGTGAAGTCTCCCTGCCAGTACAAGAGACATGGGTTCAGTCTCCAGTCCGGGAGGATCTCATATGCCACAGAGCAACTAAGCCAGGGTGCTACAACCATTGAGCTTGTGTTCTAGAGCCTATAAGCTGCAACTCCTGAGCCCACACGCAGCAACTACTAAAGCCCGTGCACCCTAGAGCCTGTGCTCCACAGCAAGAGAAGCCGTCACAATGAGAAGCCTGTGCACTGCAACTAGAGAGTAGCCCCTGCTCACCACAACCAAGACACCAGTCAAAACAAAAAAACTGAGTTCCAAGAAAAATATGGTTTTGTACAATAAGTATTTCTTAAAGACATACTGTGAATCAGACATTGTAAGGGGCCCTGAGCAGAACAACACATTACGGAATATTTACCAACACTGGCCCACACCCTCTAAATCCTAGTGTTGACCCCCAAAAATTGAAACGATTAAAAAAAAAAAAAAACTTTCACACATTTCCAAGTGCTTCCTAAGGGTAATTTGCCTTGTCAATTATCTCTGTAAACTTCTCTTGAGAGATGCCAGGAGTCAAGAGTATGTAGGACCTCTTGGGGGTCATAACTAGGAGTTTGGGTTTTGTTCTAGGTTTTAGTAATGGGAAAGATTTGGAAAGTCTTAAGCATAATGACAAGGTCTAATCTATATTTTTTTAAAATCACCGACTGCTGAATGGAAAACAGAGGACAGGGTTATGAAAATGAGAAGTCAGTAAATTCTTTCAGAACTTTAGCCAAGAGAAGAAAGTAATGATTTAGACTAATATATTGGAGAAGAGATAAGGAGAAATAAACATATTCTAGAGATATATGGCTTGGAAGCAGTAACAAAAGTTGGTAAAAGACAGGATGTGATGAGTGAGAGACAGCAGTGCCCTCCCCAAGACCACACACCTGGTAAAGGACTAAGTCATTCCAACTTTGGTTCAACTCCCAAGCCTATGTTTTATTTCTCTCTGCCATGTCAATTATCTTTGTAGCAACTGCCATATCCCTCTCCCTGCAGCCTGGCAAAAAGCAGGTAACCAGTATTACATCTGATCAGAAATTTAAGTGTACTAGAGGGAAATTTAATGGAATTTACCCATTTTCCCTGACAGATGTCCACACATCCATTCAATATGCCAACATAATCTGTTTACAGAAGGATGCAGGGGAAGAACTCCAGGAGGACCTGAAAAGAGCTCTTCTGTTAAGTAACTTTCACCCTTCCCAGACCCTCAGTACCTGTGCTATTACAACTACCAAATCTCAATTTTAGTGGAGGAGATGGAATTTCATGAAAATCTCTTCCAGCATGGAGAGAATCGGTCAATAAAACAGACTAGAGGGATCTGCTGCACTATGAGAACTCAGATTCAAAGTAGTTTTAAGAATGTTCTTTTAACCCCCATACCCATGTCCTTCAATTTATGAATGAGACGAGAACCGAAAAGAGTTCTCAGTCTTAAACATAGTTTTTCAAAGTAATCATCCATAAGCATAGCATCTGACCTTACCTAATTTCCCAACCCATACAACATCTGCTCTTATATATGGGCTCTGCTGAAATGTGAAGGAACAGAAAGCTCAAGAGCAATGAGCACTATGAGACAGTGCTTCCTAATATTCAGCCAGGTGCCTCTCTGTAAACTTCTAATTCTACCTCCTAGAGCACTCAGAAAGCATCCTTCAATGCCAAGTCATATTAAAGGCTTTCAGATATGTGTATATGATGATCTATCAAGGCCATGCACTTTTTCTCTTCTCCAAAATAAACACATTCAGTTCTTTTAATCATCTGCTCACTCAACAACTATTTAAGCAAAGTGTACAACCCACCAGAGACAGACATATCATCAAAGAGGACCACACCTTCAAGGAGCTTATGGTTTTAGTGTGCTGGTTTTTAACTCTCCCTATGTAGCAAAATTACCTGGGAAGATTTAAATATATATACTTAAGTCCTAGCAGAGATTTTTACTAAATTGGTCTGGGATATAGCCTAGGTAACATATCTTATGAATATAACTCTAGCTATATATAGGTATCTATCAGAGAACTAATACTACATGACTTCAAGACTTATTACAAAGCTACAGAGATAAAGGCACCGTGTTATTGGTGAAAGAATAGACAAATATAACAATGGAACAGACTAGAGGCCCTAAATAGACATATACAAATACGGTCAACTGATACTTGACAAATGAGCAAAGGAAATTCAATGGAGAAAGAATAGCCTTTTCAATAAACAGTGTGAGAACAACTTGACCTCCATCTGCAAAAAAATTTAGCCATAGACTTTACACTTTTCACAGAAATTAACTCAAAATGTATCACAGACCTAAATGTAAAATGCAAAACTATTTTTAAAAAGTCTAGAAGATAACAGAGAGAAAAGCTAGATGACTTCAGAATGGGTGATGGCTTTTTATACAATAAAATCACAATCCATAAAAGAAAAAGCTTAAAACTTGGGCTTATTTAAAAATTAAAACTTTTGTTCTGCAAAAGACACTATTAAGAGAATGAAAAGACAAGTCATAGACTTGGGAAAACATTGCAAAACACATATGATAAAGGATTCATATTCCAAATATACAAAGAACTCCTAAAGGTCAACAATAAGAAAACACACAACCCAATAAAAAAATGGACAAATTATCTAAACAGACACCTCATCAAAGAAGATATAGAGATGGCAAATGAAAACATGAAAAGATAATCCCCCATGTGTCATTCAGTTCACTTCAGTTGCTCAGTTGTGTCCAACTCTTTGCGACCCCATGAATCGCAGCACACCAGGCCTCCCTGTCCATCACAAACTCCCTGAGTTTACTCAAACTCATGTCCATTGAGTCGGTGATGCCATCCAGCCATCTCATCCTGTCATCCCCTTCTCCTTCTGCCTCCAATCCCTCCCAGCATCAGGGTCTTAGGGACTTGCAAATTAAAACACAACAAAATACCACTAGATATCTATTAAAATGGCTAAAACCCAAAACAGTGACACGACCAAATACTGGTGAGGATGTGGAGCAACAAGAATTCTCATTCACTGTTAATGGAATGTAAAATAGTACAGCCACTCTGAGAGACAGCTTGGCAGTTATAAAGCTAAATATAGGCTTACCAAACAATCTAACAATTGCACTCTTAGATATTTATCTAAATGAATTGAAAAATCTATCCACAAATATTTATTGCAGCCTTATTCATAACTGTCAAAATTCAGAAGTAACCAAGATATGCTTCAAATAGATGAATGGATAGACAAACATCCATAGAATGTGTATTAAATTCAGCAATAAACAGAAATGAAATATCAAAACATTAAAAGGTCTTTCCCAGCTCAGCCACCAAGAAAGCCCATTAAAAGACTTAGAAAACCCCAAATATATACTGCTAAATTAAAAACATTAGTCTGAAAAGGCTGACTCCAATTATAGAATAGTCAGGAAAAGGAAAAACCAGAGAAGCAGCAAAAAGATCAGTGCTTGACAGGCACTAAGAAAGTGGTGGCAAGGGTAAGTGAAACACAGGAAATTTTTTATATAGGAAAACTATCCTGAGTGATACTATAATAGTAGATACCTGATACTACACATTTGTCAAAACCCATAAAACTGTACAACACAAAGAGTGAACCCTAATATAAACTATAGGCTTAGTTAATAATAATGTACCAATACTAATTCATCAATTGTACCTACTAATGCAAGATGTTAAGCATCTCCAGAGGAAGTGCTGGGAGCAGTGGGACAGATATGGAGTACGGTCTTTGCACTTTTTGGTCAATTTTTCTACAAGCCTAAAACTGCTCTAAAAATAAAATCTATTAAAATAAAATACAGGGAAAGTATCAAACAAAAAAAGACATAAGATAAATTTCATTTTCTTTTTATTAGATGCATTTGGCATAAAATTATTCTGTCAAATTGTTGTACAAGTTTCTATGCACTCTCAATTTCTATGCTTACCTCATTCCAGACTGTGAAGAGTTCAAACTCTACTTTGAGCAGTGATGCTTTAGGGCACTTTCCACTAAACACAGTTCTGTCTGCAATGAACCTCTTATTGCCTGGTTCCCCATGGGGAACATGACAGTCTAAGTGCAGTCCAT